TACTGCCAATCCCACTCTCGTCCTCTCCTGGCAGTTTCCCACTATTGCCAATCCATTACTTACAGTATTATAGTAATTGTTCAAGGTCCGATTATAAGTGAGAACATGTGGTACTCAGTTCTTTGTTTCTGTGATCTGTCACTCAGTATTATAGATTCTAAGTCCATCCAGGTTGCTGTGAAATTCATAATTTTGTCCTTCTTTAATATTCCATTATGTATATGTACCACATTTTTTTTTATCCAGTCCTCTTTCGATGGGCAGCACAGTTGGTTCCATGTTTTTGCTATTGTGAACAATGCTGCAGTAAACATACCGTGTGCAGGTATCTTTTTCACAGAGTGATTTGAGTTCCTCTGGGTATATTCCCAGTAGGGGGATTGTAGGGTCATATGGAAGGTTGATTTTTAGGTCTTTTAGGAATCGCCAAACTGTTTTCCACAGAGGTTGTATTAGTTTGCACTCCTACAAACAGTGCAGAAGTGTTCCTTTTTCACTGCATTCTCTCTAATCTGTTGTTTTTTGAGTTACTGATGATAGCCATTCTGACTGGAGTTAGGTGGTATCCCAGTGTGGTTTAATTTGCATTTCTTTGATGACTAGTGAAACTGAGCATTTTTTCATGTATCTGTTGGCTGCTCATATGTATTCTTTTGAGAAGTGTCTATTTATATCTTTTGCCTGCTTTGTAATGAGATTGTTTTTTTCTTTTCGGCATGTTTGAGTTCCTTGTAGATCCTAGATGTTAGGTCTTTGTCAGACCTGGAGTTGGCAAATATTTTCCTTGTCTGTCTCCCTGCTCTCTCTTTTCTTCTCTCTCTTTTAAAAAATCTTTTAATTTTTTATTATAAAGATGTAGGGTGCAATTCAGGGTTAGGTATACAAACGTTGATTATGCAGGTACACTTGTTGATGAGGTATGCCCCTCCCTCCCCTAGCAGTTTCCCTCAACTGCCAGTCCCTGCTCTCTTGATGGTTTCTTTTGCTTTGCAGAAGCTTGTCAGTTTAATGAGGTCCCATTTGTCTATCTTATCACTTATGGCATGGACACTTGGGGTTTTGATCAGGAATTTGTTGCCAGTTCCAATTTCCATAAGGTTATCTCCTGCATTTTCTAAGAATCATATAGTTTGAGGTTTTTTCGTTTAGGTCTTTGATCCATTTAGAGCTGAATTTTGTGTATAGGTAGGGGTCTTGATAGGGGTCTTGATAGGTGATAGGTAGGGGTCTTGTTTTAATCTTCTGCATGTGGTCAGCCAGTTTTCTCAGCACTATTTACTGAATAGTTTCTCCTTCTTCCCAGTGGTTGATGGTGGAGGCTTTGTCAAAGATGAGTTGGTTGAGAAATTGAGCTTTTGCTTCTGGAATCTCTATCCTGTTTCATTGGTCTATAATTCTGTTCTTGTTCCAATACCAGTCTATTTTGATTATTGTCGCTTTATAATAAAGTTTAAAGTCTGGGAGTGTGATACCTCCTGCTTTGTTTTTGTTTTTGGTGAGGATTGTTTTGGTTATTTGTGGTCATTTATGTTTCCATATGAATTCCTGTATTGTCGTTTTCCAGGTCTGAGAAGAATGCCACTGGTAATTTAATGGGTATTGCATTAAATCTGTAGATTGCACTGGGCAGGATGGACACCTTAACAATGTTTATTCTTCCAATCCATGAACGTGGAATATTTTTTCTATTTGTTTGTGTCATCTTTAATTTCTTTGAGCAGTGTTTTGTAGTTTTTGCTGTAAAGGTCTTTCACATCTCCGGTAAAGGAAAATGCTAAGGTATTTCATTTTTTATGTGGCTATTGTGAATGGGATTGTTCTTTTAATTTGGGTTTCTGTTTGTTTATTGTTGGTGTATAGAAATGCCTGTCCTTTGCACATTTATTTTATACCCTGAGACTTTGCCAAAGTCCTTTATCAGTACAAGGAGGTTTTTGACAGATTATCTTGGATTTTTGAGATATAGAATCATGTCGTCTGCAAAGAGGGATAGCTTGACTTCCTCTTTTACTATTTGGATACCATTGATCTCCTTCTCTTGCCTGATTGCTCTAGCTAGGACTTCCAAAATTATGTTGAAAAGGAGGGGTGAGAGGGCATCCTTGTCTTGTTTCGGTTTTCAGGGAAAATGGTTCTAATTTCTGTCTGTTTAGCAGCATACTGGTTGTACTGTTTTGAAGCATGTTCCATCTATGCCTAAATGTTCGAGGATTTTTATCAAAAAGGGGTGCTGGATTTTATCAAGAGCTTTTTCTGTGTCTAATGATATAATCATGTGATTTTTGTTTTTATATTTATTGATGTATTTAATTACGTTTATGGTCTTGCAAATGTTAAACCAGTCCTGCATCCCGGGGATGAAGCCTACTTGATCGTGGTGGATAATTTTTGAGATGGGTTGTTGGATCCGGTTTGCTAGGATCTTGTTGAGAATTTCAGCATCTATCATCTATGTTCATAAAGGATATTGGCCTGTAATTCTCTTTCTTTGTTGGATTTTTATCTGGTTCGGGTATCAATGTAATATTAGCTTCATAAAATGATTGAGGGAGAGTTCCATATTTCTCAATTGCCTGGAATATTTTCAATAGGATTGGTATCAGTTCCTCCTTGTATGTTTTGTTGAATTCTGGTAGAAAGCCATCTGGTCCAGGGCTTTTTTTTTTTTTTGTAGGTAGTTTTCTTATGACATAGTCAATTTCCTGGATTGTTATTGGTTTATTTCGGGTCTTAATTTCTTCTTGTTTCAACCTTGGGAGGTTGTGTGATGTCAGAAAGTCCTCCATTTCCTTTACGTTTTCTGGCCCAGCTTTAATGCATTATTTAATTACTCTAAAGAACTACAATCACATATTTTGGACATATTTCTTGTCCACAAAATGAATTTGTTTCTCATGGATCATTGGGATAAGATTTCAAGAACATTGAACCTTGAAAGGAAGCTATAGGTAGATATCCTCTTGAAGGATCCATTTTACAGATGCAAGCACCAAGTAAAGAGTCTTGGAGAAAGTCTTACAAAAGTTTGTGGTCATCTGAGAGTAGACACTAGGCCTCTGGTTCCCTTTACCATGTTCTGACCCTCATGCCAGGCCACAACAGGCCCTTCATAGCTTTCTTTCACAGAGGTGCCAGATCTTGGGTGCTTTTTGCCCAGTTCCCCAGATAGATCCAAGCAGTAGCCTTTCTCTCATGTCCCTTGGAAAGGTCTTTGCAAGGTAGCAGGGCCCAGGTCCCCGACCAAGGGTGGATGCCAGACCTTGAAGTCTGGCTGCTCTGAGGCCCTGGGCTCTCTCTGCAAACTTCTGGGCACTCTGTTTCATACAGAAAACCCTTGTTTTGTGTTAGAGGAGGCTACTTTCTCCCTCTTGGCTTGCATCTTGGGCATCGAGAGCCATCACAGCCCTGGACACACTGCTCTGTGTGATCTATGGACTCATCCTGGCTCAAGGCTTAGCTCAAATGCATCTTCCTTCCCCTAATGGGAATGAATCACTTTTGCACCATTGTTCTGAGTCATAGGTGTCTATCTCCCACTGTGAGCTCTGGGAACACAGACACCATGTCATGATCTTGGCATTCCCAGTAGTTGGTCTCCTTTTCTAGGCCTGGGAGAGCCTTTGATTATCGTATGAAACTCCTGGGATAAGAGCTGTGTTCTAGAATGGAAAAAGCGTGAGTGGCCTTGAGAGGGAAGGGTGGAGGGTCAGCCCTGGGACAAGGAGGAGGACCAGCTCCTATATGGCAGGAAAGGCACATGTCCTAAGGGGTTAGGTCAAATTGCAGACATCTGAGAGCTGGCTTCAGGTGAGGGGACAAAGAGGGTGACCATGGCAGCTGTGCCTAGGAGGGTATAGGTAGGCATGGGCCACCCTGGATTCTGAAGCTTCTGAGCTAAGTGTGGCTTCCCTGACTTGTTAGGAACTGATATGAAATGCTGCAACAGGCCAGGCACAGTGGCTCATGCCTATAATCCCAGCAGTGTGGGAGGTTGAGATGAGAGGATTGCCTGAGCCCATGGGTTCTAGACCAGTTTGGACAACTCCATGAGACCTCATCTCTACAATAAATAAATAAAAAATAGCTGGATATAGAGGCACATGCCTGTAATTCCAGCTACTTGGAAAGCTGAGGAGGAAGGATCACCTGAGTCCAGCAGGTCGAGGCTGTAGTGGCCATGAGCGTGCCACTACACTCCAGCCTGAGTGACAGAGTGAGACTCCAACTCAAAAAAAAAAAAGAAAAGAAAAGAAATGCTGCAACAAATGTGGTAGATGTTAACTGTCTTAGCCTGTTTTCTATTGCTTAAACAGAAGACCTGAAACTGGTACTTTATAAAGAAAGTAAACTTATTTCTTACAGTTCTAGAGGCTGAGAAATCCAAGGACTGCACTTTGTAAGGGATTCTTGGTGGTAGGGACTCTCTGTAGGGTCTCAAGGCAGTGCAGGGTATCACATGGCAAGGGGGCTGAGCATGCTAACATGCTAGTTCAGGTCTGTCTTCCACTTCTTCTAAAGCCACCAGTCCTTCTCCCATGACAACCCATTAATCAGTTAACCCACTAATCTGTGTCTGGACTAATTCATTTCTGAGGGCAGAGCCATCATGAATCAATCACCTCTTAAAGGTGCCACCTCTCAATATTGTCACATTAGGGATTAAGTTTTTTGGTTTTTTTTTTTTTTTTTTTTTTGCTGATAAGCAGTCATATTTAATGATACATTGTTCTTCACAGGGACAACTACAGAAACTTCTCATCTATAATACAGGGCTATACAACCATACTGCACAAACCAATGAGCCAGATATAAAATAAACTGGCTTCTTACCAACTACCTTATACACACTGTAACCTTTCTTCTCTTCAAAATGACCCTAATCTTATATGAAAACAGTTACTGCGGGGGAAGCAGAAACCTACCTGTGTAGCCAAAAATAAAAATCAAAGGAAAAATAGCAATTCAGTGGTTAGTTGGTGAAAGCAGGGATTTTGGTGCCCTTCACTGTGCTGGTTTGGTCTTCTTATTCTTGTTCTTTTTGTCCCTCTTCTTCAGACCATCCATGTTAGCTCTCAGCAGTTTTGAATAAGCCATCTGAAACTTATTCACTTCTTTGGAGCTCACCACAGTACTGATCTTCTTTTTCCCATCAGTAGCTCTTTTTTTTTTTGAGTTGGAGTCTCACTCTGTCGCCCAGACTGGAGTGCAGTGGCCTCTTCCAGCTACCGCAGCCTCGACCTGCTGGGCTCCGGTGATCCTTTCGCCTCAGCCTTCCAAGTAGCTGGAACTACAGGCGCGCACTACCACGCCCGGCTAATTTTTCATTTATTGTAGAGATGAGGTCTCGCCAAGTTGCCCAGGCAGGTATCGAGCCCACGGGCTCAGGCAATCCACTCACCTCAGCCTCCCAAAGGCGCGGGATTATAGGCTGAGCCACTGAGCCCAGCTCCATCAGTAGCTCTTAACAGACACTTGTTGTCTGTGGACTCAGAGCCCTCCACAGGACCCTTCTTGGGGATGGGTTTAGTGCGACCATCATACTTCTTCAAGGTGATGTACACGCTGCCCGATGTCCGGCACTTCTGGAAGAGCCTGGTCAGCTCTGTCAGGAACTGCCCACTCTCCAGTAGCACCATTTCGACCCCTCTAGCTCCGTTGCATCCACGTAAACCCTGAGCAGTTAGAGCCGGAAGCTTCTCCCGGGATTAAGTTTAACATTGGTTTTGGAGAGGACATTCAAACCATAGCATGAACTTAGCAAACAATTAGGAAAGTAACCTCTGATGGAAGGTGCCAAAATCTTGAAAGGAATGGGGGCCATGAGTAACTGATAAATCATATTAAGTAAATGTATGATTTTGTAAATTAACCTAGAAGGTAAAGTTTAAAAGAATTTTCTGAGTTCATTGAGCTATGCTGAAACTAGCGTGAGAAGCCCTGGGAGGACTCAGGGAGGAAGGCTGGATCAGTAGCCCTGGTGTGGTAGGAAACAGATGACTCACTGAAGTGGGGAAATTGAGGATTATTTGCCAAATGGGACCCTATTCAATAGTGTGGGCAAGATTAAGGAAAACCATCAAGGATGGTGCAGTAACTGGAGCTAGCAACAGCAGGGTGCTACTAGCACCCTTGGTCTGACATGGCAGGGGTTAGAGGAACCTGGATATAGTAACTGTAGAAGAGGGCCTCCATAGGAGGGAATGCAGCAACCATGGAATCCTAGCACAGGGAGCGTTAGAAGGATAAATACTCCAGCATCCCTCTTCCTGCCCTCCGCTCTCTTTCTTGTGCCTCCAACCAGAAGCAAAGGAATCTTGCTTTAGTCCACATGTCAGCAAAACTACAACTTGGGGTTCAAATCCAGCTTGTCACCCGTATTTGTATAGCCTTTGAGCTGAGAAATTTTTTTTACATTTTTAAATGGTTGAAAAAAATACAGTATTACCATACAATCTACCAATCACATTCCTCACCCAAAGAAGTTTAAAAAAAACCTGCACATGGATGTTTACAGCAGTTTTATTCATAATTGCTGAAATTGGAAGCAACTGAGATCTTCCGTAGTGGGTGAATGGATAAATAAACGGTGGCACATCCAGACAATGGAATATTGTTCAGTGCTAAAAAGAAATGAACTGTCAAACCATGAGAAGACATGAAGGAACCTTAAACGCAAATTATTAAGTAAAAGAAGCCAGTCTTAAAAGGCTGCATATCGTATGATTCCAACTACATGATATTCTATGAAGGCAAAACTATGGGGACTATAAAAGGATCAATGGTTGCCAGGGATTGGAGGAGGGAAGGATGAATAGGTGGAGTACAGAAGATTTTTGAGACAGTGAAATTATTCTGTTTGATACTAAAATGATGGATATATGTCGTTATGCATTTGTCCAAACCCACAGAATGAATAATATCAAGAATGAACCATGATATAAACTACAGAATCTGAGTGGAAATGATGTGCCATTGTAGGTTCATTAATTGTAGCAAACATACCACGATGGTTGGAGATGTTGATTTGTGGGGAATCTATCGGAAGGAGAAGGTATATGGGAACTCTCTGTACTTGCCACTCAATGCTGCTGTGAGCCTAAAACTGCTCTGGAAAATGTTACACAGGCATAAAGAAGAACAAAATCATGGACTTCACAGCAAATTGGATGGAGTTAGAGACCATCATACTTCGTGATCTATCATAGAAACAAAGAACGGAATACTGCATGTTCTCACTCATAAGTGGGCCTGAACATTAATCACATTAGCACAAGGGAGGGGTCAGCAGTCACTGGGCACTGCTAGGAGAGGAAGGGAGGGAGGAGGAGCATGCAACAACATAAAGGTTACCTGGTCCCAAACCAGGGGAAGTAAGGGTGAGTTGGAGACCCAAACTTCACCTACATACAGCCAACTTGTGTAATTAATCCCTACTTGCACCCCACATCTCTATTAAAAAAATTTAAAAACAAAATAAAACATAAGTGAGCAGAACAAGGTTAATTTTGGTTGCACATTTAGTACCATAGAAGCTCTCTTTAAATCCCTCCATTCCTTCTGTATAATGTACTTATCGATGCACACGGCATGCAGAGAAAACTGAGCTTGTAAACAACTCCTTAGCCTACCCTCCAGTGTCTGCTTCATTGCTTGAGTTGTGTGTCTAATAAAAGTCAGTTATATTTGAACCCACAAAAAAAAGAAAGAAAAAGAAAAAAGTCTTAAAAAATTTTTTAATCAAAAGAAGAATAATATTTCATACAAAAATTTAAGATTTTATGTCTGTAAATAAAGTGTTATTGGAACACAGCCATATTCATTTGTTAATATCGTCTGTGGTTGCTTTCAGGTTACAACAGCAGAGTTGAGTAGCTGCGATGGAAACCGTATGCCCACAAAGTCTAAAATATTTATTAGCTGGCCTCTTTCAGAACAAGCGTGCCCTAGTCCATCCACTTCCAGGGCACAGAGTGGATTGGATCTGGAAGGACAAACAGGAAATTTCAGGCCAGGGTATCAACCTCTAAGGCCAAAGAATTGCATCAGGTAGTTATGATGTTCTTGCTTTTAGTGCAACTCATGCAAATTATGTGCAACTTTTAGACAGTTCCATGCAAGTTACCAGAATCTCATTTAGACACTGAGGTTTTTCTGCTTTTCCACCTCGGGGCTTACCAGCAGTGGCTAGTTCTCTAAGCTCCCTATCCTTTGGTGGGCTCATTATACATTTACTTCACAGGACCCCCAGTGGAATTGAGCCCAGTTACCACAGCAGTGAGCAGCTTATCACATTGCCCTTAATTATCTTTCTTGCCATTATTGTCTCTCCCTCTCCCTCACTTCTACTTCCTGATGTCATTTCCCAAGTAAACTTCATGCAGGCAAGTATTTTCCTCAAGTCTTGCTCTTATGGGAATTCAAAGTAAGAGAGGAATGTGGTTCTATTTGGTTTAAAATATTAACTGTTGCCAGGCTCGGTGGCTCAGCCTGTAATCCCGCACCTTTGGGAGGCTGAGGTGAGTGAATTGCCTGAGCCCGCGGGTTCGAGACCCGCCTGGGCAGCGAGACTTCATCTCTACAATAAATAAAAGAAAAAAAATCAGCCGGGCGTGGTAGCGCATGCCTGCAATTCCGGCTACTTGGAAGGCTGA